AACAAGCAGCCAGTCAGCCAGTCAGTCAGCTGGTCGGCCAGGCGGTCGACCAGGCAGGCGGGCGGGTGGTCGGTCGGTGTATCTGGAGCTGTGCTCCTCATCAGAGGGGGTGTGATGGTGCGAACACCTACGCAGCTCTGTGTGTCTTTGCTCGGGGTGTGAAAACGCTTGCAGGGCTGTAGGAGGAGAAGCATTCCGTCACCATGGCAACCGGCCTTAATTACAGCTAACTATAGACGCAGCAGAGGGAGCAATGAGAGTAATTAATTAGAAACCATGAGATGAAGGCAGCGATACTACGCTGCTGACCTCACAGGATCATCTCAGAATGAGCAGAGAAAAGACGTCCACGCTGGACGGGATTCAACCTGAAGATGAGGAGCGGCTCCCACCAACATCCTTTAAAAACCAGAATCAAACTGGATCCACTTGGTTCATTTCTAACCAATCAGCGGATCGATCATCCAACCAGATAACAGAGACCTGCAGGTGTTAACGACGCAGAACGTCCTTATAGGACATCTGCAGAACGTCCATATAGGACATCTGCAGAACGTCCATATAGGACATCTGCAGAACGTCCATATAGGACATCTGCAGAACGTCCATATAGGACATCTAGAGAACATCTTCTACATGTTCTCAGTGATGCATTGTCGACGCAGATAGTTCTAAATTCAAAGCTCCCTTTTTATCGTCAAACACAGAAAAAAGTTTCCTAGACCCGTTAAATGTGCCCTTCATGTTGATGATGTCAGAACGGATCAGAACCAATCAGCAGATTATTAGCTTCTGTTGTTTCTGTGCAGCGGACTTTAGATCTGTTTCTGAAGAACAGTTCAGCTTCTGTTCAAACTATGTCCCTGCTGCCTAATTGGCTGCCTGCTGCGGCATCAGCCAATCAGCGAAGGCCGTTCTGTTCCAGTCAGATGCGTGATAAAGGTGGTGGTTGAGTGTGACCGCGGTAATAATCCCGGCGCTCCTGCAGACGCTGGGCGGGACTAATATCTGTTTGTCTGTCCCCAGTTCTGGATGTCTGCCCTGGCCATCACCATCCCGGTGCCCTGCGGAGCCTTCATGCCTGTGTTCGTTATCGGTAAGCAGTAACATCCACTTATGGACGAGTCATCAGAGCAGGCTGGACTGACCTTTAGGAAACACCTCATCATAGACAGGAAGGGGAGGGGCTTCTCCTGATCAATGACATCATCTTTGGCTCAGACTGAATCCTCTGTGCAGCATGGAGGTGGGCTGGTCATGGTGTGGCGATGCAGAGGCATCCCGATCCCTGGATGCTTTAGGAAAATGTTGAAATAATCCAAGCTGACTGGAAGACTCCATCAGATCGTTTCTAAGAAATGAATCCTCTAACCTGCGTCTGTGTGGCCGCTGTAGGAGCAGCCTTTGGCCGCCTGGTGGGAGAGAGCATGGCCGCCTGGTTCCCAGATGGCATCCACTCGGACGGCTCCATCTACCCCATCGTGCCAGGAGGATACGCCGTTGTGGGTACGTTCTGCTCTCCCTATTCCTAGCTTTCACCTCTAACCCAGAATCCAACCTTTCTGGGGTTCCAGAACCGCCATGAAATGGAAAAGAAGTTCTCTGTCAGAACCTGATGGTGATGGTGATGATGGTGATGAAGATGATGGTGGTGATGGTGATGATGATGGTGGTGATGATGATGAAGATGATGGTGATGATGATTACGTTGTCTGTGGCTCTCCCCCAGGTGCTGCGGCCATGTCAGGCGCCGTCACCCACACCGTTTCCACGGCGGTCATCGTGTTCGAGCTGACTGGTCAGATCTCCCACATCCTGCCGGTGATGATAGCCGTGATCCTCGCCAACGCCGTGGCTCAGTCTCTGCAGCCGTCGCTCTACGACTCCATCATTCGGATCAAGAAGCTGCCCTACCTCCCAGAGCTGGGCTGGGGTCACCAGGAGTAAGTACCGCCACCACATCACACGCCATGATCCTGCTTTAGGTCTGAGCTGGGTCCCTGAGCAAGACCATTCACCCCACACTGCTCCCCGGGCACCGCACCATGGCAGCCCACTGCTCCCCAAGGGGAGGGGCTAAACAAGAGAAGGGAGAGACGTTCGGCAAAGGTCAACAGGACCGGGATTGGAACCTGCAACAGCCGCTATATGCGCTCTACCTCCACACCACAGCAGCCCAATGATTAGACGGACCGTTGATACTTTCACCTCATGTTCTGGAACCAAGTGACGTTCTGAGGATCTTCTGCCTCCCATCAGTAAAAACCTCATTGATATCGGAAACGATCAGAAACGGTTCAGATTAGAAACGGTTCCAATTAGAAACGGTTCCGATTAGAAACGGTTCGGATCAGAAACGGTTCAGATTAGAAACGGTTCCAATTAGAAACGGTTCCGATTAGAAACGGTTCGGATCAGAAAAGGTTCAGATTAGAAACGGTTCGGATCAGAAAAGGTTCAGATTAGAAACGGTTCGGATCA